TTTCTTTTCAGGCAAAACTTAAAACAATTACCTGGTTACTTGTCTTAAGGCACCATTTTGCTTATAATTATTATGTTTTAGTATGTGTTTTGTTTTTGTTTTTTATTAAAATAACATGAAGAAATTAATGAAAACATGCAGTACATAAAATATACATCAGAGAATAGCTTTCACATGCAGCAAGCTTCATACTTTCAAAATGAAAGCTTTGAATTTATTTTAATACAAAGCTAGAATTATGAATAAAAATTGAAGATGAATCTTTTCTGCTAATCCACCCCAAAATAAAAAGAATTTATATTTACTAAAATTCATAGCAAATTATCCCAGTGTGATATCCTTCCATTGCACTCCGATTGGGCTGACCTTTGTGATCACTCCAGATGTGGGCAACTCATGTGCACTATTTCTAAGTATAGGGTTTCCATTTGCACTCACCCCAATAAACAAGACCAAAACAATGTTTTTTTTGTATACTGTAAAAAATTTGTTGTAAGTACCTCAAATATTATCTGCACTTACAAAATCTGAATAACTTCCTGATTTTTGGTAATTTTTCATTCTGAAAGTTGGAGTTGTTATGAGGCAAGTGAAACAAACTTTGATTTAAAATTTATAATACCAAAAGAGTTCCAACAATTTAATAAAAACAAAAAAAACTTTAATTTGAAATATATAATTTATGATGAATTAATATTTACGATAAATAACTTTACATTATTTGGGGTGAATTAACAGAAAAGATCTGCTGAATATTAAAACCAAAGATTATTAGCTCTCTATTATCAAATGTATCATGCTCACCCATGGATGCCAGGGTTAGGAATTACATGGAGGGGGGAGGGGAGGGTAATCTGTGTATATGTATGCATGCAGAGATTGAGATTAAAAGAAGAGGTAAAATACCATTACCAAATATTCTGTTTTCTTTCACACAATTATATTTTGTTTTAGTGAGATGACTTTTCTTTAGGAATATATAAAGGAGAAAAATGTTTTCAAGGGCACATAAATTTATGCCCAAGGGATTATTAATGATCATATATGTAATCAAATGTTTAGATATAATAACAATAAGTACTACAATAAAAATTAATACTAAAATGGGGTGCTGAAAATTTCTTGGTCTGACCAAATGATGAAACACCAGAATTTTGCAGAAAAAGTTTTTTTTAGTTGGGCCAAGAATTTTTTCTACACCTTATATAAACTTCTTACGGAATACTAGAGTCATCCTCTAAATTTTCTGTATTTGTGTATGATTTTTTTCAGCAATTTCCTAATCAACTTAATTTCCATGTTATTTACTTCAGAAAGCAAGTTGAAGACAGCCACAATATAGTTCTTGAAATATTCTATTATTAGTGTTATATTGATTTAAAATACTAGCAGCACCACCAATAGAATTTGTAAGGTGAGGAATTATTATCATCATCATCATCATAGACCAACATTCCAACAGGTGTTCCCATCTGGCTTATTAGAGTCATATTTCCGCCAGCATACTCTCTGACTTTGCTCAGGTCTAACATATTTAGCAACCAATCTAATCTTTCTGCTAGCATCTCTTGATTTTATTCCATGCTGTATTGTTGATTACTGCATAGTCATAATAACAAGTCAGTCAGTTATGCGCCATGCAAGATACATGCATGACAAGGCAGATTTTTTCCCGCAGTAGGTTGCCATTTCTTTTTGCAGTAGACCAGTTGCCAACCAAGTCTATAGAACTTAGTCTGTCGCACTATTTACCCATATATGGGGGGGAGAAGAGGAGGATTCATATCGTTCCCAAGGGTATTGGCACATAAGTGAATGTAATGGATTCAACTGGAATTCGAACTCGGCTCTCTGATTCATCAATCCAAGCCGCTATCCATTACCCCACTTGTGCCTCCTCAACAATAGCAACATTACTAAACTGTTTTGAGATTCTGACGAATTACTTTCATTACACATTTTGACAAGTCTGTCTTTTTTGTTTTGCTTTTGCACACATTTTTGCTACTTAAGCTGCAGATATTCCCACGATAATAGAATTTATGCATGAATATTGAATCAATTCAACCACTGAAAAATAGATTCATTGGAAATGTAATACTATTATAAAGTAACTCGTCAAATCTAATAAAATGTGTAAGAATGAGAATATTTCTTCCTAGAATCACAACACTTCCAGTGTGAATGCCTATGAGAAGCTTAGAAAATCCAACAGAATTCCAAACTGAACCATTTATTTAATCTATGGGACAATAGCCTAGTGGATTAAAATATTGGTTCATGAATTTAGTGACTTAGTAATTGAGAGTTCAATCCCTGGGTCAGGCAGTTTGTACTTGGATTCAGTGAAAAACATGGCAAGCAATAACTGAGCAGTAGTAAAAAATAAGAACTAGACAATATCTCTAGATATGGGTGGTGGAATGAAAAGAGTCTACCCCTGTAGATTGAAAAAAAAAAAAGTTTCAGTTTGGGATTCTCTGTAGGTTACACACATCAATATACACCTGATGAAGGCCAGAGACATGATAACAATGACAAAGATGAAGACAATAGTCTGCATGTAAATAGTGCAAATAAGGATAACTCATCAGCCGAGAAATTCAGACAGGAGCTTAGAAAAGTTCAAATTAACCAAACAAAGTTCATATTAGAGAAAGAAATTTCATCTTATTAATTACTAATATTTCTCATAGATTTTGAAGAAAGAAATAATTTATTATAAGAAAAATTGGATTAAAATTTCCAAATACCTTTAAAGTTTGAAATAACTTTTTGTGCAATTTCTATTACACAAAAAGAAACTACCCAAAGGGGAATAATAAGCTATTAAAGGTCTTAGAATAAACTTACTCTATATACTCGAGTATAGTGCAAGTTTATATGATCAGTTTTTTTATGCGAAAATAGGGAAATAGGGGTTGCATTATACACAGGTAATTTTTTTGAAAAGTTTAAAAATCATGCATTTTTAGTGACTGGTTGCATTATACGCAGGAAAATTTTTCTGGAGGGCTTAAAATTTATGCAAAAATATTCAGGGGTCACACTATACAGTATTAAAGTGCAAAATAAAAAAGAAGACAAGTGAAAATTTGTTAAGAAAAATTATATAATTTGAAAAATTGACAAAATCTAAGTATTTGCACTGTAAAACTTTTCTAGATACTATGTAAAGAAATATGACAATTAAAATTTCAATTTCATGTATTTTGTATGTTTTTTTTAATTTCCTATTATTAAACTAATATAATTGGGACTACATAAGGAAGGGAAAAAAGGGTCCGTTTCTTTTAATTTTTCAGTTAGAGTCTTGTCCCTTGAATTTAATTTATTTAATTCTGTCCTTCAAATTGTGGAAGTTCTTTAAAGAAAATAATTTTACTACAAATTTTTGTTTTTATTCAAACTGACCTTGAATTTTAAGTTTTAAGTTGAAGAGAGAAAGTGCACCAGGATGTCCACAGTTTTTCAGCATAATCACATAAAAGAACTAGTAAACAAACAAAAAAAATGAAAAGATCTTTTCTGGACATTTTTGGGTTTGTTTTTTTAAACCTTATCAAAATATTTCACTTGTATATTCTTTTTATGTTCATAACAATTTCACATCTCACTTAATCTATTTACAAAAGGACTTCAAAAAATTACTTTAAAAAAGCATTTGAAGAGAAAAAATAACTGTTGTCTTCTTTTATCTCAGAAGAAAACCCTGTACACCTCATCAAATATGAAAAATCAAAAGCAAGCCTAAACTAGAAGAATGGCATGTTATGTCAAGAAATTAAAATCTAATCAGCAATAGACAATTATTTTAATAATTACAAAATAAATTAAATAACAGCAGCTATAAATTCTTTTTTATGTGCTATGTCACTTCAGGACATGGGTGATCATGGCTCCACACACATTTCCTATCATTTGTAGCTCTTAGCAATGTTTATCCCTCTTTTGACATCCATTTACACAAGTTCATTAAGTAGGTTACAGTGTTTCTCTCCACCTCTCTTGCTCCCAATATACCTTGTGGGTGTCAAATTCTTCAAGCCCACTCTTCTCATTATGTGTCTCAGAAATTTCAATTGACTCTTTATGATTCTAAATACAAGTGTTCTTTTTGCCCCAATTGTAAGTTACTGATGATAAAACAGGAACATCATGTCACATGTATTTTACATTTTCAAGTATTTAACAATTTGAAATGAACATTTTTTTTCATACAATATTTTGTTAGGTGTCCCCTTTTCAAGAAGCAATATAACTAAATTCCAGCTCACAGATAGTTTTTAATTCTTTTCTAATGTTTATTGCCATTATTGGTCATATCTAGAGATTTTACTTAGAAACTACATTTTATAGTAATTAGTAATAAATCAATGAATTCTAAAATTGAAATAAATCTTATTATAAAATCTTATCAAACAATTATATTTCAATGGAAAATTTAATAAATTTTCATGTAATTTAAATATCAACTTGAAAACTAAAAAAAAGAAAGAAAGAAATTTCCTAGGAAAACAAATATAAAAGTTTTTCTTTAAAGTTGAAGAAATATTATTCCAGAAAATTGTTTTATTGTAAATATAAAAAAAAATATTATTAAAAATACTCAAAATCCATTGGAAAATATTTTTATATAATTTTTTCAAATACAAATCTTTGTGAAAAGAATTATTTCCAACATAAAAGGAGGTGTTTCTGTTTTAGTAAAATCACTACTCCACGTTAAAACATAAATGTTCAAAGTTTTTTAATCTAAAAAAAAAAAAAAAAGCACACAGAGATTTTAATTAATTAATGAGATAATATAAAGGGTAAATCGAAAAGGAAACCCAAAAAACTTCACGGAGATGAATTATGTCTAGTTTTGTACTTTTGTTTTTCTGAGTGTTGTCATTTTTTTAAAAAAATATTTGTTATTGGTTTTTCATAAGAAATGAAATGTCAGTGTTTAGCTGATGGAAATGGTTACAAATAAAAAATAAAAATAAAAAACTTACCTGTAATCCACAGTAGATGTGGTAAGAATATTGATCATCGGGGCACTATTTGAGCGTTTGAGTCCTGAAGGGCCCCCAGGACCCCCACTGACCACAACAGATGGGCAGTTTGTCAATGATGGAGGGTCAACCTCCATTCTGGCAGATTATTTCAGGAAACTTTTTTTTAGTTTGTTTTTTTTGTAATAATAATATGTAAAGACTTGTTTCGTGTGTGGGTGTGTGTCCGCACTGCAAATCTGTGTACACACACACACAAAGATAAAAATGCTTTTCACCTTTTTTTGTTTTTAAACGAGTTCTCAACAATCACCGTTTTTGAAATCTCTCTTCTTAAAATAATATATACATAATTGCCAAAAAAACAAAAAAAAGAAAGAAAAGCAATTACATATGACGTAAAAGGGTGATGAAAATATCACAAGAGGCTGTTAAATTAAAATAAAATTAATTAAAAAGTAAAAAAAAAATAATAATAAATGATTTACACAGGCCTCAACTGTTTCATATTTGATAATCTTTAGTGAATAATAAAATAATGTGAAGAAAAGACTCGGGATAGAGGAGAAATTTCACCATTGTCAGATGATTAACATACAAAGAAAAAGGAAATATATTTGGGGGGGGGATAGAAAAAAAAAAAGAATTTGTTTCGTAAATATTTTTTTTCTCTGTCAGAAAGAACAAGTTCTCCTCGATGTCTTTTCCCTTCCTCCTATGGCAGTATTATTTATCTGAAAATATTTAATAAAATAAAAATCTTTGTTTCTTTTTTTTTATATCTAAGATATAAGTTTTATTTTAATATTTTAAAAATGTAAACAGTATATGCGAAAAAAAAAAATCTTTTTTTGTTTTTTTATTGTCCAGATCATCATTGTTTACAAGTGTCAAGAAAACTGTCCTTACTGTGTAAGAAGTCAGTGTAATCTTAAATTTTTCCTTTATGAATTTAATTTTGCTGATTTTTTTTTTTAAATCCTCACAAAATAAACAAAACGGAAATAAAACTGTTTTAATAAAATTAAATTAAAATTAAATCAGTCCTCATGAAGAATTTTATTTTTTAAAATAATTTTACTTTTTATTCAAATTATACAAAAAAAAAATAAATAAAAATGTACTTTCTTTACCTCTTTAATTATAGATATTTTGTTAATTTATACTTGGAAGCTATTTCTGAAGAAATAATAAAACGAAAAAAGTTATAAAAAATAAAATAAAAAATAAAAATCAATTAATAAATTGAGTCAGCGATTTTTTTTTTTTTTCCATATGATTGTTAAAATAATAACAATGGAATATCAAGATTCAGTTAAATAAATCTCACTTTTCCTCACTTTTTAGTTTTGTTTTCCTTCAAATTTACGTGGGAGGAGAATTTTTAATTTATCTTTCTTTACCTTTCTTCTCTAGTTTCATTCATTTTTACGAGCTATTTGAACTTTACCTTTTTTTTTTTTTTTTAATTTTCCCCACAAAATACTTTAAATCATATTTGTTATTTTTTTTAAGTTTAAAAAATAAAAATAAATCAGAAAATGTTTTATTTATTTTTTGTTTATTGCTGTTTTTTGTTTGTTTGTTTTTTGTTTTTGCAAACTCCGTACAGAATTAGCTTTTTAAATTAAAAATTAGAACTAATTAATAGTGCAGCAAGATATTTTTTTCTTGCGAAAAGCAAAGTTGGATTTTTATTCTTTTGTTAAATTAAATAATATTTTTATTTTGATCACAATCTTGTGATGTAATTCTTCTAGGTTAAAACAATTTTTGTGCGTGAGTCTTGAGAGAAGTAAAAACAAAAAAAAAAGTTAAGTCTGGTAATTTTCAAGTAAATAATACTAATTTTTTTTTACGGAGGAGGTTAAAGCCGATCATCCAGAAAACTCTTCATTCAAAATTAAATCAAAGAGAATCGCAAAACGAAACCAAAACAAAACACTAATATAAAAAAAATGAGAGAAAGAATCTATTATTCTTTCAAACTAAAAGGGTCCTAGTCACAAGCGGGAGTGAATGTAGTTGTGATAATATAAGCATTGCATACATATAGGTATATATGTATGTGCAGGAATATATAAATAGGTAGATATATTACATACACAAGTACAGAATAATATTCTTGAGTAAATTTCTCGATGGATCTGATGTATGTTTCAAATTTTTGGTATTCATCAAGCAGAAATTTTCTCTCCGTCTAAGGAAAATACTTTTTTAATCGTTCGTTTGTCGGCTTTACCTTAGTGTTTTAAAATGTTCTTCTTCTTACGACAACAATAATCAGCGGGCTTCGGTCTGATGCCTAAATTAAATGCTTCCAAGACCCGCTTCCATTGCATCGTGGCGAGCAGATCGGGGTTGACCGTAAGTGTCAACTCCATACCCAGGCTTCCATGTTGACTATCTGGATGCTGTTATCCAGAAACAACTGTTCACGCCATTGGTTAATCACAATGAAACGCCTTCTCTCATTGGCCAAAGTTCACACCTGCAAAAAAAAAAAAAAAAAAGTAACTAAAAAATAATAACAATGGATCCCCCACAAAAAATAGATTTTCAAAAAATATAAAATAACTATATTCTATAATTCTTACTGATAATCTTAGGATAACCTACATTTATACAAAAAATAAATGCTTTTGAATGTGAATTAATCATTATCTTGATTTCACAACCAACAAACATATCCTACTTCCTGTTCGGTTTTGTTCTAACGAAACCGGACTAACAAGGCAATGGGACAAAATTTAATACTTATTCAAGCATCAAACTTATTTAAAAATCTTAAATTAAATGCTCAAAAGTGTTCAATTCTTTTTCTTCTTTGAGTAAATCATATGGTATAGTCGCTGTAAAATGCTTTGCGAACTAGTAACATCCGGTCTCGGATAAAATTACAAATCAACCGGAAGAAAACAAAGAAAAACAAATTGACAAGAAAAATATTATAAAAATAAAACCCAACATTCAAAACTTGGTTAAGTAATGAAAAATTTCACTCATATCCTCTTCATTAATTCGTAAATTTTTGAAAAAAAAAAATTCGCACAGGCGCGTGCCTATGCGCGCACACACACACACACACTCACTCTCTCTCTCTCTCTCTTTCTTTCTTTCTCTCACACACCATTACTACTGTTATATATATATATATATATATATATATATATATATTAATTTAAGCATGTTTCACTAAATAATATAGACATATTATGTCTATTTTCATAATAATTCTTTCTAGTTTTCTATTAACTTGTTGGTGTTTTTGAAATTCATTAAGGAAGGCACCGTATTTTTTGTTAACCCAAGTACTTTTGATCTCCTCTGAGATCATCCTCAGGAGTGAATTGAAAAGACAAACCTAATGTAACTGTAATCGTTGTGATAGTGTAACGCGCTCTGTTATAATTATTTTAAAATTAACCGTTGTGGTTACGATGTTTTGTAAACAAGTGTTCACAATGTAAAGGGGAAAACGGTAACCAGAGATTGTAAATTGCAATTCAAATGCACTTTAAAACATTGCTACTATACTCGGAATAAATGTTGTTCAGCGTTGGTTAAATGCTTTTGATCTAGAGGGCCTTGAGAATTTGAAGATTTTGTTTATTATTTTTATAATAACATTGGTGTTGTCAACAAGTATTTTCCTGTAAATATATTAGGGGAAAAGACTATGACAAAGTGGAAAAGTTTTCGTGTGACGCGTTTCGTCCTTTAGGACTTCATGAGATTAAAAAAAAAAAGTGATGTTTGTTTGATGCGACTACACAAATTTAAATTTAAGCATTTTCTTTTTTAAAAAATAATGTTTAAGGTAGAGTTTATTGATTTTTGTTTAGTATCTTTTTTTCTTTTTGTTTATGTTTCCATCGCTTTTGTTCTGTAGTGGTGCTGTAAGAGTTGTTGGCTAGGGTCACCGTGAATATAATCAAGAAGGAAAGCTGTGTTCTTGTAAAACAACACCCCACATGAATAATGCACAACAAACACGAGAGAAAAATAATCAAGCTCAGTGAACATTAATAAAATATTGTATTAACAATGATATACAAATATCAACAATAGTATAAAGAAAGTTGCTTCCCTTTTACTGTAATAAAAAGGGTAAGTTTAGCTAATTAATGTTGAGTACAATATTGAATGTTATTTAACTACAAAGTTCAATTGAAGTCTTAGCTAAATAAAGAATAATTCCACAGTGTTTTACCAGTGTCGAAAGATGTAATGTTCATGAGTGATATCAATAGGAATTAGTATGATTACTCGAATGAGTAATAATTGAGAATTAAAATGTCAATATAGCGCCGTGCCTTATTTTCCAAGAATTGAACTGCTACTGGCTGTTGGCTAACAGTGAGAGGGTTTTTATAGTTATGCATAGGCTCCAGTGAGCATGGCGCCAAAAATATAGAAAGATACTAAAATACGCGATTGGTCAGGAAATGGACCAATCCGTGATTTTGGAGAAAAATTCAAATGACGTGCGATGGCATATATTGTTTGTCGTTGCTTGGAAATCTTCCATGCAAACAAAAACAGACTATCATTATTGCTATGTCCGTGTATTGTTTAATATATTGTAATGTAATTGTCATCTTTGATGATGGCTTATGTAGGCTTAGAAGGATTAAAAAGGATGTATCAATATGGTGATTTTCTTTCGTCTTTCGTCTTATTAAGCTTATCAGACGATATGAAAGGAATTTGCATAAAATAGACAAAACTTGTCTATATTATTTAATGAAACATGCACCAATAAAAAAAATGCTGCCTAAATACACAATATATATATATATATATATATATATATATATATATATATATCATCAAGATAAGAAAAAGTTCAAAAGACTTATCTTAGGACCGACTTCAAGTTTCGCAGACACGCTGCTCATCAGAGTCCGATATATCCTACCAGGATGCTCGCTAGGTTTTGTTCTATTCAGGATTATAAAATGAATGAACATGAACTCTCTTCCTCTCTTTTTCGCAAGGGTTGTAATAGCGATAACAACAGGATTCTTCCCTTCCAGGGAGACATTCCCCGAACAGCAAATCTTTTAATTTCTCAACATATTGCGCCTCACGTCACATATACGCACATACATACTATGGCTAAATACTTAAATGT